AGATAGGTATACAAGCTACAGAACAAAGGATTACACAGATTCGCACAATATGATTAAAGAGTTTTAAAAGGTTTCAGTAGTGGGCGCCTGGGTGGCTCAGTTGGTTAAGCGACTGCCTTCGGCTCAGGTCATGATCCTGGAGTCCTGGGATCGAGTCCCACGTCGGGCTCCCTGCTCAGCGGGGAGTCTGCTTCTCCCTCTGACCCTCCCCCCTCTCATGTGCTTTCTCGCTCTCAAATAAATAAATAAAATCTTTAAAAAAAAAAAAAAGGTTTCAGTAGTTATTTAAGGCTTATTAGATTTTGTATTTATTAATAAGGTTACCAGAACCTTAGCATGTGCCAAGGACAGTCCTATATTTAAGACTTCACAATTTTTGTTCCCTCAGTCTATAATAGTTCACTAGAAATTTGCATGGCTAGATCTTTGCTTATATAAAATAACTATCCCATTTTGCTCTGCTGCTTTATTTTTGTTCATAGCATATAATTATGTGTTCATATTATATTTACTGGTGGGTTTGCTCCCAGAGAGCAGGAACTTGTTTCTGCTGTCTCCCCACTGTTCCTTGCCTGACATGTAGTGTGTGATCAGTAAGTATTGATGGAATGAACAAAATAATGTCTGTGCTTACCTCTATAAGTTAGACAAGATTCTAAAATATTTTACAGAGATAAAGATTGGATGTAACTTTTGAGTAGTACAAGTGCTTCCCCAAGTGTTGTATGTGTGTTCCTTTGTTAAAGCTACATGGACTGACTTTAATTTTCATGTTCATTACGATAAAAATTTAACAAATAGCACTGCTTTATCAGTTAGGGACCCTGCAAGAAACAAAGAAAGAGTCTACATAGAGATATGCTGGTGGTTAAAGGAGTAAATACTGGATAGCAAGATGCCCAGAAAGTAGCAGTAGTGGGAAGCTGCTGCTCTTCCTAGGACTGCAAGGGTAAGGAGGAAATGGTGTAGCTGGAGCGGAGGAATGGCCACCTGGCTGGAGCAGGGTTTTAGAGATGGGGCCTTTGATCAGAGAGGAAGCTCAAGAACGACTTCTCTTTCCTTCTTTCCATAATCTCCAGTATCCCCTGGTATCTTAGGGGCCAATCCTACCTTCTGGTAAGAAGCCAGTTTGGTTGGATGGCCTGTCAAGGATGGAGTGAGGGAAGAGCAAGTGAAGACCAATGCAGCATCAAATCTGTGATTTGATAGATTTTATTGTGTAGGAAGAGCTAAATTTATTGAGAGAAATGAATGGATAGAAAGAAAACTGTTAATAATAGTACAGGTAAAAACCATGGCTAAAGTTTGGGGATCATTGGGAAAATATTTCTATAAGCAGCGTTATATTCAGCACAGTCCACTCACTGTAAGATTTGTTTTTCTGAGTAATTTTAGAGTATCTTACAATGTATTTTAATTACTGTCTGACTGGTGTTCCACATATATATGTTTTCCAGATAATTCTTAGGACGTAAGTATAATTTTTATTTCCCTCTTACCGAGGGACCTTTTCCCTAAAATGTAATGTCCTGAAATTCATCTAATTTCCTAATGTCTTTAGGAAGTTCTCAAACTTTAGCATACATAGGAATCACTTGGGAAGGTTTGTTAAAACAGGTGAGCCCTGCTTTTCTGAGTTTAGTTGGGTTCAGAGAGGGCTTGAGGGGATGCTGACATTACCCGTAAAGGGACCACACTTTGGGAACCATTACATGTGAGTCCACTGAGCTTAATTTTTGTGGTTGCCTTAGGGTCATTTACCCTAAGAGGTATCCTGAAGTTGGGGATGTTGGTTTTTTATAATGGTTCCGGGTCAGTTTTAACACCTGTTGTTTCTTTTTACTGTCAAGATCTTCATGCTACCCTTCCTTGTGCCACCAGTAACTCCTCTCTCACTACTTTTCTTGTACTAGAGCAGCTGTAGGCTGTGATCAGATACATTGGTTAAATTTTAGTTTAGAAAAGAGAGAGATCCTTGGGTGGCTCAGTTGGTTAAGCAACTGCCTTCGGCTCGGGTCATGATCCCAGGGTCCTGGGATCGAGTCCCACATCGGGCTCCCGGCTCGGCAGGAAGCCTGCTTCTCCCTCTCCCACTCCCCCTGCTTGTGTTCCTGCTCTCGCTGTCTCTGTCTCTGTCAAATAAATAAATAAAATCTTTAAAAGAAAAAAAAAAAAAGAAAGAAAGAAAAGAGAGAGATCCAAGCAAAGTTCATGAACTTTAGTGAGTGAACTTTATTTTATCCATTTTGACTGTTCAATTTTGTTTACTGATTATTCTCCACAATACCTAATGCTGCCCCATAAGTGACCTTTGGTGAAGTATGGTGTTAATTTTAAGTTGTTCTGTACTTGCCCCCTCCTTTTTTTTTTTTTTAAAGATTTTTTTTAAAGATTTATCAGAGAGAGAGAGAGCAAGCACAAGTGGGGAGAGGGGCAGAGGGAGAAGCAGGCTCCCCTCTGAGCGGGGAGCCCGATGTGGGGCTCGATCCCAGGACCCTGGGATCATGACCTGAGCCAAAGGCAGGCGCTTAACTGACTGAACCACCCAGGCGCCCCTAAAGATTTTTTATTTATTCATTTGAGAGAGAGCGAGTGAGTGAGAGCAGGGGGGAGGGGCAAAGGGAGAGGGAGAAGCGGACTCCCTGCTGAGCAGGGGAACCCCCTCCCCCCCACAATGTGGGGCTCAATCCCAGGACCCTGGGATCATGACCTGAGTCACCCAGGTGCCCTAGACTTACCCCCTTAAGTGAGTAGGGATCACAGGGAATCTCTGATACTTTTAGTAGCCTAACACCTTAAAAGTTCACAAAAAAACTTATTTTACCTTAAATTCTTGCTATCATGCTCAAACTGCTTCTTATCAAGTTACTTTTTTTCAAGTCCTATTTAAATAATGTTATATCTTGTAAGCACTTTCCAATCTTTTGAAATATATAGGGGGGGTAAATAAATATTTAAGTATAAATAATAAGTAAAAATAATAAAAATAATAAATATTATATGTATCTTTTTATAAATACTAAATCATGGATGTAGTTATATAATCTTTCTTTCCAAAGGAACTAATACTGTGTAACATTAGCATTGAGAGAGGAACAGTGAATTTGTGCTTTTGAGTAGGGAGTCTTTTTTATAGGGCCCCTGGCTTTCTATGTTGCTGGAGAGCTTACATCATTGTGGTTTGGTTCAAAATTTCTGTTTGGAGACTAGGTGGAAAAATAATTACATATTTCTCAGTTGTTACCTATACCTTTCAAATCGTGGAGAAAATACTATTCAAGTGCCAGTATTAGAAGTGTGTTCCATCTTTTCCGTTGACAGGATATTTCAAGGTCTCTGTGTCTTGGGTTAGCTTTCGGAGTAAATTTATATATTCTGCCTTGATTTTAAACTGTTGTTTTTTGTACTTGCCAATTCATGTTTTCCCTCCTGTGATTCTTTCTTTGAAAGTCTACTAATGCTACTTTATGAAGGAAATCATTACTTAAACTTGGTTATCTCCCCCCAGTTTGTTTCTGCTAGTTTTTTTCTTCCTCATTAGTAATAAAATTATTAGTATTTCTGTTATATTTTGGAAATTGTGAAGTGCTTTCACATTATTTCATTTGATTTTCATTATAATTCTCTCTCAGGTTGGAGTGGATGTTGTTGTTTTACCTAGAGTAAATCAAAGTACAGGGATGTACTCAAACTTTATCCTAGGTCCTACCAATCCCAAAGCCCTTCCCTTACTTAATCCCTAGATAAACCATAGTGGTAGTGTTTGTACCTTAGGCAAGTTACTTAAAACTTCACGGTCTCTCTTCATCCATAAAGTGACATTATTAATATTAGCTTCATAAAATTATTGTGAGGATTCAGTTAAAATGTATAAACTACTTAGAACAGTGCCTGGCACATAGCAAAGCCACAATAAATGTTAATAGTACTGATAGTTGTTGTACCACATTTTTTCCCTCCCTTTAATAGTTATCATAATAAAATTAATTCCTTAGATCTTCAGACAACATTTGATGTAACAAAATTTTCCCATAAAAAAAATCTTAGGTTATTTATTGAGTTTATTATGTTGGATTGTTATATGTCTTTAAAAACCTCATTTTTATTTGTCCAATTTTTTTCTTAATGTGCAATAAAATGATTGCTTGAGGAAGCTGTTGAAGGTATTGTTTATGTTGCCTTTTTTTTTTTTTGCAGTTTTATACCTTTATTTGACAATCAGCGATTAGTCCTTATCCACATTAACTAGATTTTTGAAAGTGGTGACAGGTACATAGGTAACCAACGTATAGAGTTTGTTTGGTGAAACTTCGTCCTCGTTACATTTTCTGGACAACGGCGCATGGGTATGGTTATGGACCATTCCTTATTCCTTTGGTCCAGACAGCTTTGTGGAGCCTGGTGTCGATGTGCACATCTGGAATTCCCATCTCCTTCATGGCACATTTCCGGATCTCTTTGAGTGCCTGAGGGGCATGCTTTTTGTGCCCACTCTGTGGATGCACTTGTGGATATTGATGGTGTATTCTCTGGTCACTACTTCGTTGATGGCAGAACGGCCCTTCTTGCCACCCTTCTTTGCAGGAGCCATTCTGCCGGCCCCTGGTTGGAAAGGAAGTGTTACTTCTTTTAATATGCTAGAATCAAAATAGATGCCTTTTCTCTGGGATTATAATATTTTAGTGCATTATCTTATTACTCAATCTAAAAAGCATATGGCTTATTTGATGGTCTATAGGAGTTTTTAAGGGTTAGAATATGAGGCCATTTGGGGCAGTTATTGACTCATGGATGTCTGCATATGGAAGAAAGAAAAAAGTAGGAATTTCATAATGTCTATAAAATTTGTAAAATACCATCATGTCAGCATTAATTCAGCTGAACTTCAGGAAACTTTGTTGGAAGTAGTCATGTTTTGATTGATACGGCTTTCTGTAATTAGGTACATATTTAAAAAGATAAATTTCTAAAACTGCTTTATGTATTTCTTCCTCCAACAGGGCATTCTTAGCAGGGTGACAGAATCTGTTAAGAACATTGTGCCAGGATGGCTACAAAGATACTTCAACAAGAATGAAGATGTATGCAGCTGCTCAGCAGACACCCGAGAGGTACCACAGTGGCCAGAAAGCAGAGAAGATGACCATCTGGTATATGCCGATGAGGAGAGCCCTAATATTCATGATGGGAGAATCCCTCCTGAGCCAACAGTCAGTAATACAGAAGGTACATAGAATATGAATATTTTGTTACGTGTGATAGGTGTTCACAAATCTCTTTATATTACCTTGCTGTTGTAAATCTCATTGGGTAGTATATAAACCATGTAGGAGGAGGGTGATGATCAGGTTCAAATGAGTTATTTATCAGCTTTTTGTTTAGTAAGGGAGGTTGATATATCAGTTAAGAATGCAAGCTCTGGGGTTAGACTTGGTTTTTGAATTTTCAGACCATCAGCTGTCATATGGCTTTTTGGACAAGAGAGTCTATTTTCTCCTCAGTATCCTCATAAATTGTTTTGAGAACAGTAGATGTGACGCCCTTCTAATGGGTCCTGGCACTAAGGGAACACTGTATAAGTGTTAATTGTTACGGTGAAACTGTGCTGATGCCTCCCCCAACACTAGAATTTAGGTGCAGTATAACCGCAGCTGCTCCTGTCCTTTCTGCAGCAAGCTCAGCCGGGTCATTGGTCTTAGAATTAAGTGATCCTACATTTTAACGGCTTGAACGTTTTTGGATCCTCTTACAGCATTTTGATGGGGTTTACAAATATTCAGTAGCTTCAGTATAACCTACGAATATGGCATATTTGGAAATATTACTGTCATTTCACTGTATATAGTTTTTACAGCTTTCTTGAGATACAGTTCACATACCCATTTAAAGTGTACAGTTCAGGGCGCCTGGGTGGCTCAGTTGGTTGAGCGACTGCCTTCGGCTCAGGTCATGATCCTGGAGTCCCGGGATCGAGTCGCACATCAGGCTCCCTGCTTGGCGGGGGGTCTGCTTCTCCCTCTGCCCTCTTTCCTCTCGTGCTCTCTGTCTCTCATTCTCTCTCTCTCAAATAAATAAATAAAATCTTTAAAAAAAAATAAAGTGTACAGTTCAGTGTAAAAGAATGAAACCAGACCACTTTCTAACACCATACAAAAAAATAAACTCAGAATGGATTAAAGATCTAAATGGAGATCTACAACCATAAAAATCCTAGAAGAGAGCATAGGCAGTAATTTCTCTGACATCGACCATAGCAACATTTTTCTAGATCTGTCTCCTGAGGCAAGGGAAACAAAAGCAAAAATAAACTGTTGGGACTACATCAAAATAAAAAGCCTTTACACAGCGAAGGAAACAATCAACAAAACAAAAAGGTAACCTACTTGAATGGGAGAAGATATTTGCAAATGATACATCCAGTAAGGGGTTAATGTCCAAAATATATAAAGAACTTCATCAATTCAACACCAAAAAACTCCAAACATTCCAATTAAAAAATGGACATAGGATCTGGGTAGACATTTTTCCAAAGAAGATCTAAAGATAGCCAACAGACATATGAAAAGATGCTCATCATCACTCATCATCAGAGAAATGAAAATCAAAACCAATATGAGATCACCTTAAACCTGTCAAAATGGCTAAAATCAAAAAGGCAAATAAGTGTTGGCAAGAATTTGGAGAAAAGGGAAACCTCGTACACTGTTAGTGGGAGTGTAAATTGGTACAGCCACTGTGGAAAACGTTGTGGAGGTGGAGGTTCCTCAGAAAACTAAAAATAGAATTACCATATGATCCAATAATTCCACTACTGGGTATTTAAAGAAAAAGAAAACACTAATCTAAAAGATAAATGCACTGCTATGTTTATTACAGCATTGTTTATAACAGCCAAGATATGGAAGCAATCTGAGTGTCCATCGATAAGACAAATGGGTGAGGAAGATGTGGAACACACACACACACACACACACACACACAGTAATGGTACGTGACCATAAAAAAGGATGAGATCTTGCCATTTGCAACAACATGGATGGACCTAGAGGGTATTGTGCTAAGTGAAATAAGTCAGAGAAATGAGAAAGACAAAACCATATGATTTCAGTCATGTGGAATCTAAAAAAACAGATGAATAAACAGAAAGCAGGATCAGAATTATAAATACAGGGCGCCTGGGTGGCTCAGTTGGTTAGGCGACTGCCTTCGGCTCAGATCATGATCCTGGAGTCCCAGGATCGAGTCCCACATCGGGCTCCTTGCTCAGCAGGGAGTCTGCTTCTCCCTCTGACCCTCCCCCTCTCATGCTCTCTCTCATTCTCTCTCTCAAATAAATAAATAAAATCTTTAAAAAAAAATTATAAATACAGAGAACAAACAAACTGATGGCTTCCAGAGGGGAGGGTATAGGGAGATGGGCAAATAGGTAAAGTTGGGCGGGAGATACAGGCTTCTAATTATGGAGTAAATCACGGGGATGAAAGGCACAGCATAGGGAATATAGTCAATGATATCGTAATAGTGTTTTATGGTGACAGATGGGAGCTATACTTGTGAGCATCGCATAATGTATAAACTTGTTGAATCACTATGTTGTACACCTGAAACTAATGTTGTGTGTGAACCTATACTCCAGAATTTAAAAAGATAAAAGTGTTCAATTCAGTGGCTTTAAATATATTCACAGAGTTGTTCAGCCATCACTACAGTCAGTTTTAGGATGTTTTCATCACCATCCTTATCACAACCCCTAAATCCTACACCCATTAGTAGTCATTCCCCATCCAGGCAACCACTGATTTGTCTTTGTCTCTCTGTAGATTTGCCTAGACTGGACGTTTCATATAAATGGAGTCACAGAATATGTGGTCCTTTGTGACTGGCTTACTTCACTTAGCATAATGTTTTCAAGGTTCGCCCATGTCCTGGCATGCATCAGAACTTCATTTCTTTTTATTGCCAGGCAATATTCCATGGTATGGATAAAACTACATTCTGTTTATCCATTCATTAGTTAATGGACATTTGGGTTTTTCCACTTCTTGAACATTATGAATACTGCCGCCATGAATATTCATGTGCAAGGTTTTGTGTGGCTGTGTTTTTTCTTGTGTGTATACGTAGGAGTAGAATTGCTAGGTCACATGGTAATTTTAACATTTTGAGGAATAATTGTTTTCCAAAGTGGCTGTACCATCTTGCCTTCCCACCCACAGTGTATGAAGATTACAATTTCTTTACACCCTCACCAATATTTTCCATTTATAAATGTTTTTTTAAAGTTTATTTTTTATTTTTTGTAATCTCTGCACCTAACATGGGGCTTGAACTCATGACCCTGAGATCAAGAGCCACATGTTCCTCTGACTGACCCAGCCAGGCACCCCTTTAATTTTTTTTATTATAGCTCTTCTGGTGGGTTGAAGTGGTATCTTGTGGTTTTGATTTGCATTTCCAGGATAACTAATAACACTGAGCATCATACCATATGCTTATTGGTTGTTTGTATATCTTTGGAGAAATGGCTATTTGCATCTCCTTTTTCCATTTTTTTTTTTTAAATTTTATTATGTTATGTTAGTCACCATACAATACATCATCGGTTTTTGATGTGGTGATCCACGATCCATTGTTTTTGTATAACACCCAGTGCTCCATGCAGTACGTGCCCTCCTTAGTACCCATCACCGGGCTAACCCATCCCCCCTCCCCCCACCTTTTTCCATTTTTAATTGGGTTATTTGTCTTTCTATTGTTGAATGGGAAGAGGTCTTTATATATTCTGGATATAAGTCCCTTATCAGTATAGGGTTTGCAGATATTTTCCCCCCTCTGTGGATTGTCTTTTTTACCTTCTTGATGGTGTCCTTTGAAGCACTAAAGTTTTTAATTTTGATGAAGTCCGGTTTCTCTCTCCATATGTTTCTTTCTGTATATATATTTTTTCTTTCACAACATGTTTTAGCTTATTTATAATTATAAAAGTTTCCTAACGCTGTGTTGAAGTCTAGTCTTGCCTAAATAATTAATGTGGGTGTACGGCCTGTTAATTTTGGTGGACATAGTAACCACCTTTTCCTGCCTGACTGGCTTGTCGTGAAATATAGTAACAATGAAATAGGCCTGAAAAAAATAATTACCAGTGTGGACAAATGGCTTACCTGTTTTCTTAGTAATACTCGATTTGGCTTAGTCTTTAAATGTTTGCTTATTTTTTATTAGAATAACTTAGGAAGTTCTAATATCTATACTTGGGACAGATTTCTTTCAAATACATTATCAACAACCGCCTTGAGGCTTAATCTAGTAGGTCTATGCTGATTGCCTCCATGTCATTTTTTTTTCATGGGCATTGAAGGGGACCCTGGTTTCTCTTTTCATTAGAGACTTCTGGTGTTCTCCAGCCTATATCCACAGTGACTGACACTCTTTTCCATCTTAATGAGTGTACTTTTGAGGATTAACTAACTTAAAGAATTAATTTAGTTCAGGTGCGAGATAAATGGAGTGTTTCTCATTTTATATCTATAAAGTTCTTTTTTGTGTGTGTTTGTATTTTCATCAAAATAATGGAATTAATTTAGTGGTGTGCCAAGGTCAGTTCCAACTTGGATTTTATTCATTATGTTATTAAGTTTATATCCTAGCTTTTCTGTTACATGTATAGTATACATACCTCTGTGAGTTAGCTTCTAAAATTACTATGGAAGATTTTAAACTGCGCAAGTAAGGAGGATAGTGCAGTGAAACCCCCATGTACCCATTACCCAGCTTCAAAGACAACCAACTTATGACTGATCTTGTTTTCTCTCTTCCCACACTTACTCACCCACTTTCCCACACTAACTCCTCTAATTATGTAGAAGCAAATTGTGAGCCGCTTCTTGATACTAATTTCAGGAACTTGATAGCATTTCCCACCTCATTCTTATCTTAGATCTGAACCCTGCTCCTATCTTTTTTTTTTAAAGATTTTTTTTATAAAGATTTTATGTATTTATTTGAGAGAGAGACAGCACGAGCGGTGGGGAGGGGCAGAGAAAGGGAAAAGCAGGCTCCCCCCCTGAGCAGGGAACCCGATGAGGGGCTGTGGATCATGACCTGAGCCAAAGACAGACCTTTAACCAACTGAGCCACCCACGTGCCCCAATCCTGCTCCTATCTTAAACTTTGTTAGTTCCAGGTAGTTCTTTTCTCACAGTATTTATTGCATTATTCAGTAGTTG